CAAATCCTTCTCCCATAGTTTCAATCTTTAGTTTTGTTAAACCCATCACCCATTTTTCCTTTTCTGTTTGATTTTTTACATCTAAACAAATTTTTCTCTCTTCATATCGTGACTGATTATATTTCATTCCAGTTTCAACAATTCAGTATATAAACGTTTAATAAGAATATCATGTTTATTCATTTCCGTTTTCTGTGGCTTCTCTGTTCCTGTATTCAGCAATATATGTTGTGATGATTAAGAAAACATGATTATCACTCTCGAATTTTATAAACATTGTAGACGTTTTGTAAATTAAATCACTAATTGATCTTAGCTAACTCCGCCTGGAGTCCCTCCGGGGCTACTGCCTGTCCCAAGCCCGGACAAAGGAGGAGGGTTGGGTATGGGGTTAGCGACCCCATCCCATAGAAAACTAATTCGCTAAAAAAACGCTAACCAGAAAAAACGCTAATTGATTTTAGCTAGTAGATAGAAGAACTTTAGAGAAACATCTTTGATACTACGGTGTTATTAGTTGAGAAAATCGTCAATATCCTATGGAATTTATACCGTCGGACTACACTGCAAAGTGGTGCATAGAGGACAACTGATACATGAATTCCAAGTAAGGACCGGAGTAAGACAAGGTTGTTTACCTTCACATCTGAAGAAAAGCACAGAATACAATCGACAGCTCAGAAACAAGTAGAAGATTTGGACTTAACAGATGACCTGCCACTTCTATCCCATAGACACGAACAAATACAGATAAATACAACTAGTGTAGCAGCAGCATCTGCATCAGTAAGCCTCAACATTGACAAGGGAAAACCGTAACCTTCAAATACAACACAGAAAGCAGCAACTCAATCACATTTCATAGAAAAACTATGGAATATTTGAAACATTCATGTACCTGGTCAATATCATCGATCAACAAGGAGAATCTTATGCAGACGTAAAGGCAATGATTAGAAAAGCAAGGACAGCATTCCTACAATTGAAGAACATATCGAACTCAAAACAACTCTCAACCATAATCAAAGTGAGAATCTTCAATACAACGTCAAGACAGTTCTACTGTACGGAGCTGAAACTTGGAGAACTAATACAACCATCATCAAGAAGGTACAAGTATTTATAAATAGATGTCTTCGCAAGATACTCAACATCCACTGGCCGGATACCATCAGCAATAGCCTTCTGTGGGAGAGGACAAACCAACTTCCAGCTGAAGAAGAAATTAGGAAAAGACGATGGAAATTGATAGGACATACATTACGCAAATCGTCAAACTGCATCACGAGGCAAGCCCTGACTTTGAATCCTGAAGGGAAGCGGAAAAGTGGAAAGCCAAAGAACGCATTGCGTCGGATAATAGAAGCAGATATGAAAAAGATGAATTACAACTGGACGGAGCTAGAAAGGATTGCCCAGGACACGGTTGGATGGAGAATCCTGGTGAGCGGCCTATGCTCCTTCACGAGGAGTAACAGGCGTAAGTAAGTAAGTATTTCATGATCACATAGATTAGTTCAATAATTTTCCTCTGAAATATTCTATACATTTTTAATTGTGACGACGGACCACCGGTGAACTCGAGGAAGCTGTAAGAGGCTCATAAGGAGCCGAAGACGTTCCATCCAATCACCTGTCGGAAGAATGTTCTAGAATTCCAACGTGTAGCTTCCCCATTGGATAATGCTAATAACCCCTGTACGCGGATTGGAAGATTGTAATGATGATTTCGTTCCCACTAAAAACTATAAATACCTGATAATTTTGTACTATGTTTGACACTGTTTGGAATAATATTCCTTTCGTTAGTCTTCTGTCTTCTTATTGCGACTTGGAAGGGTTTGGTGTTCCAGTGCTCAGTTATACGCGGTTGTATCAAGAAAATCAGCTTTTTCAAGATATAACATCTGGCGACGGGTTATTGTATCAATATGTCATTTACCTTGGAACAATTTGAAGCCTTATTGGAACGTCAAGAAAAGTTCCAGATGCGCATGCTAGAGATGCTAACTCAGAAAATGAACCTGGATCAAAAAGAAGTTACAGATGATCCCTTCAAATCTCATGTTGACCAGATTGTTAATTCTATCCATGAATTTAATTTTGATGGTTCAGCTGGCATTACTTTTGAAACTTGGTTCAAGAAATATGAAGATTTGTTCAAGGTCGACCTCAAAAAACTTGATGACGCCGCTAAGGTCAGAATACTCTTGCGAAAACTTGGAACTGTTGAACATGAACGTTACAGTAACTTTATCCTTCCAAAGAATCCAAGAGATTTTTCTTTCGATGCAACGATTGAAATTTTGTCGCAAATCTTTGCTGAACAGTCATCCTTGTTTAATATTCGTTATCAATGTCTCAAGATGACAAAAGCAGGTGATGATGACTGGGTGAAGCATGCGGGTCTAGTAAACCGTGAATGTGAGCGCTTCAAACTATCAGCAATGACAGAAGACCAGTTTAAGTGTCTCGTATTTGTGTGCAGCCTCCAATCTCCCGAAGATGCCGATATTAGAACTAGAATTTTGAGTAAAATTGAACAATGTCCGAATATGACACTACAAGAAGTAACCGCAGAGTGCCAGAGATTGGTAAACCTAAAGCATGACACTTCGATGGTCGAAAATAATGGCCAGTTGCCATACGTTCGTGCTGTAAGCGGAAAGAACGATTCTCGCTCAAGAAAGGTATCGCACACAGATAATCAGCCTTCATCTCCATGTTGGTCTTGCGGTGGTTGGCATTATAAAAGGTTCTGCCCATATAAAGAACATTGTTGTAGCAAGTGTCATCGCAAGGGACATAAAGAAAACTGCTGCAGAAAAAGAACCCATAAACGACATTCTTTGAAACCCTACTCGAAGAAATACAGATTTAGTGCTCGAACTAACAAAATATTGGTATCACATAATCGAGCACGAATTTGCCGCCAAAGAAAGTATGTAACTTGGATATAAATAAAAAGCGTGCCCGCCTGCAACTCGACACCGCTTCTGACATCACACTTATTAGTCGGAGAACTTGGAATCTTATCGGTAAACCACAGGTGCTCCCAACGACCCAGTTAGCTCACAGCGCATCTGGAGGAAAACTAAATATTGTTGGAGAGGTTTGTTGTACAGTCTCGAAAGGAAATGCGAAAACGAATGCAACTTTATATCTTACACAGAATCCAGGACTAGATTTGCTAGGTCTAGACTTGATAGAAGCACTTCAATTAGCAAATCACCCCATTAACCACATATGCAGCGCAGTGAGAACCAGTAAACCGGTGGAAAAGGATCTGAAGAGTGTTGTATTGGAAAGACACAGTCAAGTGTTTATGGAAGAGTTGGGGGAATGCAAAAAGGTTAAAGCACTATTGATTCTTAAACCGGGAGTCACCCCCGTCTTCAGACCAAAACGTCCGGTACCTTATGCAGCGCTACCTATTGTTGAACAAGAATTAGAGCGTCTGCAAAGAAGTGGAATAATCGAACCAGTAAACTTCTCTGATTGGGCAGCTCCAATAGTGATTGTTAAAAAGCCTAATGGAAGTATCCGGTTATGTGCAGATTATTCAACTGGATTAAATGAAGCGCTTGAAGCCCATCAATACCCATTGCCGGTACCAGAGGATTTATTTGCGAAACTGAATGGGGGTAAGTATTTTGCGAAATTAGACCTATCAGACGCTTATCTACAGATTCCGGTAGCGGATGAGTGTAAGCATTACTTGACAATAAACACTCACAAGGGATTGTTCCGATATAACCGACTTCCTTTTGGAGTAAAGACCGCCCCTTCAATCTTCCAACAAGTTATGGACACTATGTTACAAGACATTCCTGGTACCGCGGCTTATCTCGATGATATATTGATCATGGGTACAGACTATGCTGATTTAGAGAATAAGGTGGATACGGTTCTCAGACGCATAGCAGATTATGGATTCAGGCTGCGTGCCGAAAAATGTGATTTTTACATGGAGCAAGTCCGGTATTTGGGATTCATAATTGATAAAAACGGGAGAAAACCTGATCCTGAAAATGTCGAAGCCATTAAGTCCATGCCTCCACCCACGGATGTGTCAACTTTACGTTCTTTCCTGGGAATGGTTAGTCATTATGGAGTTTTTCTGCCAGATCTGCATCGCCATCGTGCTCCTCTTAATTGCTTATTGAAAAAGGATACTAAATGGTTCTGGTCAACTGAATGTCAAGAAGCATTCCTAAAACTGAAGCAGCTTCTGTCATCGAACCTTCTCCTTACACACTATGATCCCGATCTTCCAATTATAGTCGCAGCCGATGCGTCGAACTACGGAATTGGAGCAGTAATTTCACATGCCTACCCTGACGGTTCTGAGAAAGCAATCGCTCACGCTGCGAGATCACTGACTATGACTGAAAGAAACTACAGTCAAATAGAGAAGGAAGCCCTCGCGATTATATTTGCTGTAAAAAAGTTCCACAAGATGTTGTTTGGTAGGCAGTTCACCTTACTTACAGACCATAAACCTTTACTGACAGTTTTTGGATCTAAAAAAGGCATCCCGGTATATACAGCAAACCGGCTACAGAGATGGGCTACCACACTGCTGGGTTATGATTTTAAGATAAAGTATCAACCAACAACGGATTTCGGACAGGCAGATGCACTCTCAAGATTGATTGGTCTGCATGAAAAACAAGAAGAAGAGGTGCTTGTAGCTGCTATAGATGTCGAGGCCGAGGTTCACAAAATATTGTCAGACGCAGTTTCCGGACTCCCGGTCACATTTGAAGCCATTAAAGAGGCCAGCAAGAAGGATAATGTATTAAAGATTGTTCGCCATTGCATACTCAATAAATGGCCTTCATCTAGATTACACGGAGAACTCTTACAATACTTTCGTCGACGAGAGTCATTAACAGTTGTCGATTCATGTATAATGTTTGGCCATCGTATCGTTATCCCCAGAAATCTTCGACACCAAGCCATTAAACAGTTCCACAGCGGGCATCCAGGGATAAGTAAAATGAAGTCACTAGCTCGTAGCTATGCTTACTGGCCGTCAATGGACCATGAGATAGAGCAAAAATGTCGCAGCTGTTGGTCTTGTCAAGAGGCTGCAAAGAACCCAACGAGAGCTGAGCCACAACCATGGCCTAAACCGGACGGGCCTTGGCAAAGAATACATGCTGATTTCGCCGGACCGATACAAGGCAGGAATTACTTAGTTGTTGTAGATGCTTTCACAAAATGGCCGGAAGTTTATGACATGCCGAATACGACTTCAGAGAGTACCATAAGAAGATTGTCAGGATTGTTTGCCTGTTTTGGGGTTCCAGAGATCTTAGTGACCGACAATGGTACTCAGTTCATGTCATCCGCCTTCAAACGCTTCTGCAACGAGAATGGCATATTGCATCTACAATCTCCTCCATACCATCCTCAGTCGAATGGCCAGGCAGAAAGATTCGTGGATACAATTAAAAGAGCTCTGGTCAAAGGGGGAGGTGAGGGTGTCCCGGAACAAGTGATTAATAAGTTCTTGATGTCTTACAGAGTTACCCCTAATCCGGCAGTACCAGAAGGAAAGTCTCCGGCCGAGTGTATGTTCGGAAGAAAAATCCGGACAGTTTTTAACAGTATGTTGCCGCCCAGAAAGACAAATAAACCCACGAATGAAAATCGTAAGGTCAATCGTAGCTTCCAGGTGGGTGAGAAGGTACTTGTCAGATCGTACCAAGGTAATAAGAAGTGGGAACCAGGTGTCATAGAACGTCGAATCGGAAATGTGTTGTACCTAGTCCGGAAAGATGTCGGGAAATGCATAAGACATATAAATCAAATGCAAAGAAATGATAGTACAGTGGTCACAGAAAACCGGCTTCCATTTCAATTGCTCGTAGATTCATCCCCGAAGAACCATCATGAGCGCAAATATCGAAAAGACAAACGACGCAGAGAGAAAGCTGTACAACCCTCGAGAGTAATGGAGCGCAAGAGGAATGCGACACCCAAGCTTCAGGTGGATCCAAGAAAAAAATCTTACACAACGGACTTTAAAGGGGGGAGGTGTGACGACGGACCACCGGTGAACTCGAGGAAGCTGTAAGAGGCTCATAAGGAGCCGAAGACGTTCCATCCAATCACCTGTCGGAAGAATGTTCTAGAATTCCAACGTGTAGCTTCCCCATTGGATAATGCTAATAACCCCTGTACGCGGATTGGAAGATTGTAATGATGATTTCGTTCCCACTAAAAACTATAAATACCTGATAATTTTGTACTATGTTTGACACTGTTTGGAATAATATTCCTTTCGTTAGTCTTCTGTCTTCTTATTGCGACTTGGAAGGGTTTGGTGTTCCAGTGCTCAGTTATACGCGGTTGTATCAAGAAAATCAGCTTTTTCAAGATATAACATTAATGTTAAACCAAAGGTCATAGGTTCGAATCTCGTGAACGGGATCATAGATGTGCACTAGCACTGAGTAGTTTCATACTAAGACGAAACAGTGATCCAATACTTTCAGGTTGTCCATAGTAGTTTAGTTTTAATCAACTCATGAATTCAGTTATTATATAACAACAATTTAAAAAGAAAATATCACGTAAGTCTTCATACTTATTCTTTGACTGCTTCAATATCTAGCCTACCTGTTTTTGTTATATCCCAATGTGAATAATGAATGGTAACTTTTGGGATCCATTTATGGACCAATACTTTACGTATATTTTTATTGTATAATTGTTAAATAACTAAACTATTCATATTCATATTCCTCTTGTTATGTGCTTTATTTTGACCCATATACCATTATTATACGATTTACCATTCTTGAGTTATGCCCAGTCTGTTAATCAATATCACCCTTATTCATAGCCACATTTGGCTAACTCTTGTACAAATGTTGTTTCCTATTTTATGGTACGAAATGGTCTGTTCAGCTGGTATATAAATTGAGTATGTTTGAAATAAATGATTCATATCACCGAGGCTAAGATTGGTGTTTTGTACTTAACTGGTTGGGCTAGGCAAGAAGCAGGACGGATAAGGAATCTAGACTGTTCCCACGGGTTTTGTGAGTCCTTGGTCCGATCGATAATTCACTTCTCTCTAATTGGCAGTATCATCACGTTATACATTAACCAGGGCACACAGGTCACAAGTTATAACAGTTTTATTATTATTAACTCTTCCTGTAGCTCATCTAGGGCTACTGCCAGTCATCTTAAGCCCAGGTAAAGTAGAAGGGTTAAACATGTGGTCGGCAACCTGATCCCATAGAAAACAACCTTACTAAGAACAAAACACTAAACAACAAGGTAGAAATGAAACAAGACTAATACAAATCTATGGAATATAATCACAGTTAAAATTGTTCATTTTATACACCTGTGTTTATTTGGCACCATATTGATGGATAATTTTAATATGAATAAAAGAAAGAAACGAATGATAAGTAAATTACAAATTATTGTCTTGAAACAAGTGTAAATTTGTTCCGACAACATGTGTCTTTTTTGAATTACCATCTGTATATAATGTAACCATGTTATGTCGGTTACTATGCGAAAACCCATAGAACTTACTCTAGTTTCTGGACAGGACAATCTCTATTCATTCTATTTGAATCATGATGTTCTAATCGTGTTTCTGTATGAGTATATTTGTGTGTACACACTTCTTATCCTATTCATCAGAATTCATCTGTAACTGATTTTTATGGGACTATATTTATTGATTAACGGTTGATTAAATGGAGTTGATTCATTTGTCTTCTTCATTGCAAGTCATTATAGTTCACTCTTTTCTCTTTTTGCTTCTTCTACTTTGCTTCATTATGTTGATTATCAGTTCAAATCAATAACGAGTACATGAAATATACACAGCGCGGCACCTATTTTATGTACAAGCCTATCAGAAGCGTTCGAGGGATTTCAAGGTCACAGAGCCAACTTCAGTACTTAGTGCTAACGTATGATCGGTTCACAGGGAATTTTGTACAAAACATGATAATTGAGCAGCTATAAAAAATAAAACGGCGAGACTATATTTTGTGGACAAATCAATCAGGTATAAGATAACAGATTTCGGATTTTGGCACGAAAACCTTTCATCCATTTAGCTAAATAAATTTCTGGCATTATAGCTGATGTCAGTTCGTGATGAAAACCTCATATATAATTCCTAACTAAGGCAAATTACGACAACTATCGCGAACTGGATAATAAAAGCACTAGTAACACTGGCTGCAGTCAGGTTCTACCATATATTCGGATGTTTGGAGAGCGTACAGACTCCTACATAGGCTTGGTTATGTGCATCGTGTCGTTATACACAAGTAGAATTTTGTGCACTCAACAACCGGACTGCACATGAACAACATTGAAGCGATGTGGTCGAGGCTGAAAGAGTTTTTGCGACCTTATCATGGTTCCAGAGATCGACTATTCTGTAGCTATATGGATGATTTCCTCTACTGCATGAACTACGATTTTAGAACTTCCGAACATCTTTCTTACCTTGAAAAGTTTTTGAACCATAAAATCTATTCCCGTATTTGGTTTATTTTAATTCCACTCTTCACTAAGATGATTGAAGTCGATGCATATATACAAGAATAGTAAAGATGTATATTTCAACAGTAATCATTCAATCATGATCATTTGTCTGATCTAATTGGAGTCAGATCTTAGGCCACACAAAAAAGTTGATCAATTATGGTGTTTGAATGAACTATCGATTCCTTTGTACTTTTTGAATACTTGATTTCGAATTCCAATTACAGTACATTCATTCGTGCTCATCTTGTACTTCTTGATTCAATGGCGTTATTTCTAGGATTCTTTGTTCGTACTATAACTCAAATACTCCTGATAATCATATCAATCTAATATCTAGTTTTGAGATGGTGGTGAAGATTTGTAGCTCAGCTGGATGATTTTGATGGAGTTTTGTTCTCTGAGCTAGATGGTTTGGTCGTGAAGTTTTCATCGTTCTTCTGAACGACATCATCAGCACAAACTTCAAATAGAAGTGAAGTGTTTGAATCTCTCCATCTATGGTTCACAGCTTGTCTTATAGACCTCGAAGTTGATTGGTTCTTGTTGACTTTAAACAAGACAAGCTGTAAATCACATGTTGAGAAATTCGAACACTTCACTTCTATTTGAAGTTTGTACTGATGATGTTGTTCAGAAGAACGATGAAAGTTCCATCATCAAAACATTCAGCTCACACAACAAAACTCCATCAAAATCATTCACCTGAACTATAAATCTTATCCATTATTTTATTACCCATTTTGTGGGATTCATTTAAAATGTAAGTCATCATCAAAAGAAGATCTTCTGTTGTTTATTATTTTCTTCTTTTTAAAAAAAAATAATAATCCAAAAGAAATAAAAATGTATTTGTACAATTCATGATAGGGTAAGATAAATTATTCATAGAAAGTGTATCAAATATAAAAGCGAATCACTGAGCTTATTGTATTTAAAAGAAGTGATCATTATGAAGGAGTCACATAGTAACAAAATATACTTTTTTTTACTGTTAATAATCAATAATTTCGTGAGGGGGGGGTAGGGGGTAGGTAGCCTAGATTGAGGGACATAATCTCGGTCAGGCTATAATTTATGAATAACCTTTGAGCGATACTAAACTAACTTTGAGAGTGTTCAACTAATAATCAATATCAAATAAGGGTTATAAACTTGTTTGAGGAATTAGATTTAGAATTTTCATCACGAACTGACATCAGCCAAATGGATGAATGAATTTCGCGTCAAAATCTGAGATCTGTAATCTTATACATGATTGGTTCGTTCATAAATTATAGTCTTGCCATAAATCTGATTTTGTTTTGTACAATAGTTGAATAGATGCAACATTCAACAGAAGATTCATATTCTAACATTCAATAGGTTTCAAGGCATCATTTGTTTATATATTCATAAATGAATAGAATCTTAGATGAAATTAGAATGAAGAGAAATAACTGAAAAGTGTACATCATTAATGATAAACGGTGACATAACTACACAACCCGCAAAAAAACAAAGTAAATCATCACCATTTTAATGTATGAGCAAAGATAATGTTGTTTAGTTATTTGTTTAATCAGACTAGTAGACAGTAGTTTGATAGGTATTCTTATTATTAATGTGATTGTTGTCCGTTTCCAACCAGACTAATCACATCTATTCTTGATCTAAGTTATATTGAAATCTTGTACAATAAACACTGGGAAAGAATCTACACCAAATACTTCGGATCCATTGGCCAGTCACTATCAACTACTATGAGAGAGAACAAATCAAATTCCAATGGAGAAAGAAATCAGTAAGAAACACTGGAAACGGATAGGACACATATTGAACAAAGCATCCATCTACGTCACAAAGCAAGCGCCAAATGCCAAAGGAGAAGATAAAGAGCAAAGAATACATTACACCAAGAAATTGAGACAAACATCAGAAGAATGAACAACAATTGAATAGAACTAGAAAAGAAGATTCAGGATAACGTGAAGGCAACTTCAACCTCACCATGATAACATATTGATTATTTATTTTGGTTACTATGTTCTGGGAGAGAACAAACCGGCTTCCAACTGAATAGTAAATAAGGAAAAGACGATGGAAATGGATAGGACATACATTACGCAAATCATCAAACTGCATCACGAGGCAAGCCCTGACTTGGAATCCTGAATGGAAGCGGAAAAGTGGAAAGCCAAAGAACATATTACGTCGGGAAATCGAAGCAGATATGAAAAGGATGGATAGTGACTGGAAGGAGCTGGAAAAGACTGCCTAGAACAGGGTTGGATGGAGAATGCTGGTGAGTGGCCTATGCTCCTTCATGAGGAGTAACAGGCATATGTAAGTCAGTAAGTACTATGCAAAAGTTGGTTTAAATAATGGCATAATTAATAAGATTACAATGGTTGCTATCATAGCAATAAATAAAAACAACCAAAATAACATACGATCAACAATAACAGCTAATATACGCCATTCATTAATGATATCAATAATGGATTGTTCATGATATTGTTTATAATATAAATTAGATAAATAAATTTCTATAATTTTTTGTTGTTTTTCTGTTTTTGTAAAATTTTTGATAATTTTGCTAACAAACATTGAAATTCTTTAAAATGATTTATACTACTGTGAGTAGTATGTTGATTTTTGTTAAAAGAATTCAGTAGTTTGATATCATCATCAGCATCATTATCCATGAGATCATCTGTAGATCTTGTATAATATGTACGATGATTATAAGACATTTCATATTGTTTATATTTAGTAATGATTTGTTGATTTAGATCCTTCTTCTTTATAGAAGTTGATTGTTGATCTTCTTCCTTATCAATTAATCGAACGACATGTACAGTTGTTTTAGGTTCATTGATTGAATGGATTCGATTTAAATTAGGGGAACTCAATCGATTCATCATTATGGATTCATATTGTTCCTGATGATGATGATGTTGTTCAATAAAGTTTTCTTTATACTGTTTAGATGATACTTGTTTCTTTGTTTGTCTATTAGAAGTTAATACATCCGATGGTAAATAATGATTAGAAGAAGATAAATATTGATCATTCTGTTGATCATTTTGAAGTTGATCTAAAATCAATTTTGTTTGTTTCGTTAACTTGATTGATTGATCCTGTTTCATTTGATATCGATAGACAATATTTAAACATAATAATTTTGCTATAAAATTAAAAAATATTTTTTTAATATATTTTGGTACAGGTTGACGATTAGATCCAGTATGATGGAGATGTAATACTAATACAGTTAATATAATTGATAATGATGTCATTGTCATGGTTACTGTAAGATAAACACCTGGAAAAAAATCATGAATGCAATATAAATGAACTACAGTATGATTAATAACTTCAAAATAACCAGTCCCTAAAATGACTTGGTACGGTTGAAAGTGGGGAGAGTCAGCTCTCCAACTCTAAATGCTCTTACATGGCCACTTGCATGTAACCACTGACAGGGAAGTTCTACTCTCTGCATTCTTGCGGTATTATTGGTGTTTATGAAACTGAGAGGACGAAAAGTGAATGTCTGGCGCTTTAACCCAGTTGGTGGATATGTAGGATCCACCTAAGGGATTTGAAAAATCCTGATTCCAGACCAATGGTGCACATGGGCTCCAGTATCTTCAAGGAATAAATGGCGTATGAACGAATTACTAGTCACCGGATACCATGGAATGCAACTCCTGACAGTGCTCGACTGCCTTGCGGGTCAGACCTTTAGGCTGAATGCTCCGGTTGTGGACCCATAACGTAATCGGGCAGTATCTCAGCCCTCACACAAATTGAATGATTCATGTAGCGCATATCTGTTTGGTGCCTCTCAGTACCAATCCTTATGTGTTTAAACAAAAACCACATAATGATTGGAACAACCGATTGCGTCATAGAGAATTCAGTGAAGAAATTTTTCTTTACAATGAAACTGTTTACTTATTTTGCACATTCGTATTTATAGTTGTCTGAAAGATAAATGAGTAGGGGGATTTGTGTAGATTGTAATATTTTCACAGTTAAATTCACGAGTCTATTTAAGCTAAGACCATCACTGAAGGCATGGAAGTACTGGGCGACTGTTTTGTCCTAGCAGGAGACTTCTCAGAGTTGTCCAACACGAGACTAAAACCCAGGACCTTCGCGAACGCGAATTCAGCTGCCAAAATAAATTAGTCTAATGAAGAATAGAAGATTCAATACCATAAAAGGGTTGGTTATTTCGAATATCTAAAGAATAACTATATGATACCATTTCTTTTATCTTTTTTTAGACTCATTTATCTTATTAGGGTGCTGACTGACTTGGCTCCAAGTTGGATGAAAGTATGAATTGACTATAAATATAAATCTTCCACTTAACTCCGTATATTACCTAGGCCAATACCATTCGTATGACGGCAATAATGAAAACCCAAATAGGGGTGGCGTTGAAAGGATTTATTTCACGTATTCGTTTGTCCTAACAGATTCAGAATAAGAAGCCATAAAGGGAAGAGGAAAGAGTGAAACTAACCGAGCCAGAGAAGGCATGTGGGTCAACTCCCATTTTACCAAGAATAAATCGATATTTATGGTCAAACAAATATAAGTTACAGACACTTTTGGTTTGCAGCTAACACGAGTTCACTTGGTCTGCGAACGAGAACAAGACTCAGTGACCAAGACCAGTAAGCTAGCTATTTCATGCGTCCCAGTCCCGCTAACTAGAGGGAGAAGTTCAAGCTTGGAATGGGAAAGTATATTCTGCAAACAGCCAGAAACGAGCTATAACAACAAACACAATTCAAAACGTATATATACAGTGCAAAAGACGCAACGGACCAATAGCGTTTAAGATAGTTCCCATTGGGAAATACTACATGAAGATGACAAGAGCGCCTTTGGCGCGAAAACAAAGAAATTGAAATTTTCTAAATAAATTTACAAAATTAGGTCCTTTCCCAAGTGAATTCTGGGGATCTAACGTCCCCAAAAGACATATCATGAATAGGATAAGTAGTTACCACACATATGATCACACAAAAAATAATCAGGGTCAATAAACGAATTAGTGACAAGGTCAAAATGTGACTCAAGTAGAATGAATAAATTGTCTTGTCCGGAAGCTAGAATAATCTGTAAGGGCTTAATTTAGTACCAGCCACTATAATCTATCAATGTAACTATAAATATGAATGTACAGCATTGGTAAATGACTTCGTCGTTATGATGATTGATGAGACTACAATTTATGGACGACCTTTGAGCAACACTAAAATGACTTTGAGATTGTCAACCTGGTAACTAGATGAAGGTTATAAACCTGTGTGAGGAATTGGAATTATGATTTACAGTTGATTATTAAGGTTAGAAATGAGATTCAAGGTTTTCATCACGAACTGATATCAATTATAATGCCCAAATGGTATTCAGCCAAATGGATGAGTGAATTTCGTGCCAAAATCCGAGACCTGTAATCTTATACGTGATTAGTTCATCCATTAATTATAGTCTCGCCGTTAGAACTGGTTTTTTCGAATGGTTACTAATTATAATTTTATTGTACAATTACTGGATAACTAGATCATGATGTATATGTATTCTGGTTTTCATAAGCTTTCAGTTAATCTATAAGCTACTGTCATATAACCTACTGTTCCTTATTTATCTCTTCCATTCACATCCACATTTAGCTTGTTCATATGTAATTGTGTGTGGCCTCGTATGTTTGTAAATAAATCACGTCTGATTAGAATATCAAATGGTGGAGGTTGGCTACTACTTTTGGACTCAAAGTTGGGTATAGAAACAAGCTTGAAAATAATAAACTAATAACAGCTTAACTGTCGGCTTAACATCAATGGTTTCGGTCGACGGCGGAACTGACAATGTCAAAGACACTAAGCTATATACTAAATGGTAGATCAAGTTAGAATCAAGATTCTGATTCGTTAGCTGAGATGTTATATTGGTATACGTGTCGACAAGACATAACAATTTGAGATCCTGAGAAACGATCCACGTTCTCACATAATTGTATATATCATCAAGATAAAGAGAACAACATTTAACCGTTGTTCCAGAGGATTAAGTACTAACTTCATCCTACTACTAATACAAATTTCAATACTAGAAAGTGTTTAAGTTCATTCCTGAAAGATCAAGATTCAGTTTTCCAACTCTAGTGGTTCACATTCAAACCGTACTATTTTACGAGGAGGGGCTTTTGTTCAGTGGCAAATTGGTCTTATCTAGAACTAAAGAATATGTTTTTCGAATCTCCAACTGTAAAGTGAAACATAAGATTCTCTTATGATATGACTGTAAGAATAAACACATAATAACTATTCAACGTATCAGGTAACATACGTGAAACCTTTAAATGACACTACTTAAGATTAATAAACAAATGGATGTTCTTGAATGGTCATTTCATTTTGTATCGAACAATTCGATTGATCTTACGGAGCAAGTTATATTGATTGAATTTCTAGGCATTCACTTTTTCATGTTCGTAAGTAGCTCTCAACGTTGCTAGGCAAAGGTATAGTTAAGAAAGTCTACAGCTCGATATTGGCTCATTTGTTGCAAACTGAATAAAAAGCTGGTTATTATTTATCAGATCAATAATTCTTGCCAGAGTCTGTTAGACTCGAATTCCTTCAAATGGCAAAACCAATAACCAGTTCTATATGCAAAAGCAACATGTTCGGCCCCTTCTTTTACCTTGGCCAACTTCAGGGCTTATTAATAAATAGTAAACATAATTATAGAATGACCTAATTTGACAAGTGTATTGTCAACCTTTCTTTGTTAAATATAATTTTAATTTAATAGCTGAATTCATGAGCCAATTAAAGCTAGACCACCATGGAAAACCTGGAAGTACTGGATGGCCGTTTCATCCTAGTATGGGACCCCTCATCAGTGATTATTCACGATTCCTCTGGTGGGATTCGAACCCCGGACCTCCAGTCTCGCGTGTGAACACTTAACGAGTTAACATAGTCTTCTATTAAACACTTGATGGAATTCTAACTCGTACTATTATTTCTCTCACTTTATCTGATCCATATTTGTTCTGAACGATGTAATTTACCTTAAACTTAGCCATTATTGGATTATTAATTTGAATATGTAATAGGAGAACTTGAAGAGATTTTATTGAAGTGAATATTCTTCCATCATATATTGATGTTTTGTCAGATATTTCCCAGTTTCATTTGAGTTACTGATAATTTTATTAAGTAGTATAAATATTTATTCGTCATTTTTAGTTTGAATTCTTCATGAATAAATCAAGGTTAGACATTAACATTCTCGGATGCCGTTCACACGTGAGACTGAAGGCTCTGAGTTCGAATCCCACGAGCAGGATTGTGGATTCACACTGCTGAGTAGTCCTAGAATAGAACGAAAAGGCCGTCCATTACTTTCAACTTTTCAATGATCATCTAACATCAATCAGTTCAAGATCTCAATAGAAAAAATAAATTTTTAAAAAAGTTAAAATTGTGATCAATTTCATGATTGATCACTTACCAATTAAAGGTACAAATTCACTTGTAGCTGGCATATTCTCTGCAATCAATAACATAAATACACTGAATGCTAATAATACAGTTATACCAAGTGTAATTTTTTCACCAGAATCAGGAGGTAACCAAAAACTAACTAAACTTAATACAGTTAACCATAAACATGGAAAAATGATATTAAATAAATAATATAGTGTACGTCGACGCATATAAATTGTAAATCGTAAATCAGGATATGGTTCATTACAGCATGGATAAAATATCTATATTGGAATATAGAAATAGAAATGAGATAACATTTAATGAGTGATCATAGATCATAATGAAGTATCATCACAATATACATTTATAATGATTCATGAAATGATAGATTTGTATTGATTTAATTCTATTTTAAATCAATTGATTGATATAGAAACTAATTTTATCACCATAGTAACTAACTAACAATTGTGAAACACAAAGGATTGTGTTATCATCTGTCGTTTGAATGTTTATTGTCTTGGCTCTTTTAATGCAACTTTTTGTTAGTATAGGGGTTGTGGAGATTATTAAGTTTTTGATTGAGATCATGAACCGATTGATGTTAGACCACCACAATTGAAAACCTGGAAGCACTGGACGGCCGTTTCGTCCTATTGTGGGACTCCTCGGCAGTGCGCACCCACGATCCCGCGGGCGGGATTCGAACCCAGGGCCTTCGGTCTCGCGCGCGAACGCTTAACCAACTGGACCACTGAGCCGGCGTCCAATGGTGTTAATGTCTGACCTCAACCAATCCACGAAATTGCGCGACCAACTTCCGTTGTACTGAGGTAGATACCTGTCTCTACCCGACACGGATTAGCTGCACTGGTCACAGCTTCTCATTAGGACTCCGAGAATTCCCTCACGAAGCTAGTCACTAGTGAGCACATGTTGATTACTGGTATAGGGGTTGTGGAGATTATTAAGTACAACGGAAGTTGGTCGCGCAATTTCGTGGATTGGTTGATGTTAGAAACTATCACCATTGGATGCCGGTTCAGTGGTCCAGTTGGTTAAGCGTTCGCGCGCGAGACCGAAGGCCCTGGGTTCGAATCCCGCCCGCGGGATCGTGGGTGCGCACTGCCGAGGAGTCCCACAATAGGACGAAACGGCCGTCCAGTGCTTCCAGGTTTTCAATTGTGGTGGTCTAACATCAATCGGTTCATGATCTCAATCAGCAACTTTTTGTATCTGATCGTCGCTGATTGGTTGTATCGGAAACGCTTATCATTTATACTTGGAACGAGGGACTTCTGCAATTCCCATGACGCGAAATTGAGAACATAAAGAATGGTGTTAATGAAGATTTATTAACCCCAAAACACAACGACGACGACGAGAATAGAAAACAAATACTACATTGAGTAATCATTACATTGAATCCAAATGGGAGTAATGTTGAACATAACTCATAATGAGTAAATCAATCGTGAATTGACTTTTCTTTCTATCATATCACATTGAGTCAGAAAGTCATCCAGATTGGTAATACTTCACTATGATGGATTTACATTTATTTCTATGATGGGATTATAGATTTCCCTATCTGCTTATAACTCGAATAAAACATATAGAATTTAAGTTAATTTTATTCTTTGAATGTTCTGAATGACCACATATTTTATCTGTTCTAAATCTATCATCTACCTGCTCTCTAATAAGAATCTAATTTACCTACTTACTTACTTAATTATGCTTGTTACTCTCAATGGAGCATAGACCGCCGATTAGCATTCTCCAACACACTATGTCATGAGCCTTCCTTTCTATTTTTAACCAATTTTTGTTCATTCTTATCATATCTGTCTCCATTTCTCAGAGTATTGTGTTCTTTGATCTTCCTCTTCTCCTTTGGCCTTGAGGATTCCATGTGATGAGGAATTGCCCTGTGACTCAGTTGGGTACTTTCCTCAGTATGTGTCCTATTCACTTCCAGCGCTTCTTCTTAATTTCTTCCTCCACTGGGATATGGTTTGTTCTCTCCCACAGTAGGTTGTTACTGCTAGTGTCTAGCCAACGGATCCGAAGTATTTTGCATAGACAACTGTTAAGAAACACTTGTATCTTCTGGATGATGACTTAAACATCTAATTTACAAATGCTTTAATCTATGCAAAAACATACCCAATATAGAATTTTTTAAACAATTCTTTGTGTTGTTTAAAGATCCTCCTCATACTATACGACGTATCTATGAGGGAAGGATATTCTGTTCGATAAATTCTCTTCAGGTTCTATAATTGTATATCCAAATTAATAATCCAAAATGTAGTCAAGTTAAGGGCAAAGTACATCGTTTAAAGCGTATGAATTCAAGATTGTCAAACAAAGCAAACGTTTGATGAAGAAAGTTAATAGCTCGATATTAGCCCATTTAGCGCAAACTGGTCATTGTGCCAGTATAAACCAATCCATTTCAATTATTTATCGGGTTCGTAAATTTTTGCCAAACCTCATCAGAATTGAAATCTTTCAAACGACCGAAATAGGTAGTAACCATCTGGATGAAGAAACCTAAGCTATGCGTACAGAAGAAATATCTTCAACCATTCCTCCCCTGGCCAACCTCAAGGCCAATTAATCAATAGTAGTGGAGATTTTAGCAATTTAATGGTTGAGTTCATGAGTCCGTTGAAGCTAGACCATTATGAAAAACCTGAAACCACTGGACGGTCGTTTTATCCTATTATGGAACTCCTCAGTGGTAGTGCAAATCCACGATCGCGCTTCGCAAGATTCGAACCTTGAACTTATCAGTCTCGAGCGCGAACACTTAACCTTTAGACCACTGAGCTGGTATACATAGTGGTCTAGCTTCAATTGACTCATGAATTTATTTGTTAAATTACTATAATCTTCACAAAACCCCTCTCTGAATATAAAATACTGTTTAATGGCTAGTGATCTGAACCAAGTTAGATAGTATGATTGATTGTCATCGAACTAGACATATCGTCAATCTTCGTACATTATGATCGACTTAATCTTCACTAGTGAATAGTGGAATTAAATAAGTCAAATATGAGGATGAATTTCGTATACGTATATTTTATACAATCGTTGATCCAGACTCATTGACTCACTCACTCGCTTACACTTCGGCACTCGTATATCATTCTTGCTTCGTGTATCTGTGATTTCCGTGATCTGTTTGTGATGAGATAATAAACGTAATCAACGCTTCGTATTCATCTTCTGACATACATTATTTATTTGTTCATTTCTTTAAGCACATAAACATTGGGACAAATGGGCACTGAATGGTAATGCGCCACATAAATCATTCGATTTATATGAGGGCTGGGATACTCCCGGGTGAGTAAACCGAAGTAGGAGCTCTTTTCTTAGGGGACCACACCCACACTTCAATCCAACCACAACACTAATTTAGACAGTTATGATCACAAGGAAAATGAAAACCCTATTTTTATTAAATCAGCTCACTGACTTACATATGAAAGCTTGATGGTACTTTATTAACACTCAGGACATTTTTGCGAGGGAGGGGTGCAGCTTTTAAACTGGAAGTGGTTAAAACGTTGAAAATTGCGGATCAACATAAATATGTATTAGATTCTTTCTTGAATCTTCAAAAAACTAGATCAGTCAACCAGTAGTATCGGTTACTATGTGAAGTCCATATACCTTATTCTAGATTCTGTGCCGGCAAATGTATTCATTCTTCTTGAGTCACTATTTGACCTTGTTAATTATTCCCTTATAAACCTCTACTGCTTTTATACGAGCGTATGTGTATGCACTCCTTATCCTACTCATCACATATCTGTAACGTATTTCTGTGTGACTGTAAATATTGATTAACGCTTGATTGACTCATACGTCTTCTCCATCGCGCATCATTTCGATTCATCCCTCTGATTACCTATCCCGATCAATGTATGTACAAAATAAACGAGGATAGACGTCGTATATATTTCAATAGCAATCATTCATACGATCCAAATGGAGTCAGATCTCGAGTCATTATTTGCGATTATGTAGATATTACATTTAACCTGAATAACTAAATTTGATATATGGTCATACTATATTTCAATGTTATAATATATTCATATATTCATTAAAATAGTACCATAGAACTCTATACCTCATGTCTTTCTACGACAACTTTAAGTAGATCCCATTCACCATTTTCAACATAATTCGATATATCTACTTCATCATGTCTAAAATAGAATATAAACAAAAAAGGAACAAGTAACAAATCTAATCTCTATTGAAAGAATAGAATCTCAATAAAGAATAACTCTTTTTATTCAGATATATAGTTGTTGAGGAAGTTACATCCCCCAAATACTCATATTTTGTAATTTTATCTTTGTGGAGCTTGTATCCAGATGTATGCTTGGGTATTTCTTACCACCCAAGCACATAGTCGATTGACGAACTTATCGATTAAATGTTTAAAAAAACTTCCATGGCAATATCGATTATATCTATTTTGTATAAATACGCTTGATTTGTGTGCTTGATGAACCTGGTATCTTCTGGTTGTCTGTAGAATACACTATCTACATCTTACCAAGACTTCTGGATTGAATTAGCTGAGTCGGGGACAACGGACCAGTATAGCCTATCGAGTCTCTAGTTGCTTGGTTCTTCGTTCCGTTCCGAATAAGAAGAATCAGTAGTAGCATTCAAGTTAACGAACATAACAATTTGGCGACGGGAATGGGATTAGAACCCACGCAGGAAAACCCCAATGAATTAGCGGTAGACATTTAATGATTAGGTTATTACATCATAGATACTAAATACTCACTAATGTTTATTCCAGTTCTTATTGAATGATAATGATAACACGATAGTAATCTGTTTGTGATAATAATATGAAAAGATAATTTCTGAAATGAATCAAGATATGATTGTGTCTTACTTGAACACTGCTTGCTTACTTACTTACTTATGCCAGTTACCACTCGTCGATATGCATAAGTCCCCTACCAGCACTACTTATCCAACACTGTCGTGGGCAATCCCTTCCAGTTGTTATTCATCCTTTTTATGTTTTCTTCCAATTCTCGACGTGGTGTGTTCTTTGGTTACCCTCTCTTACATTTCCCTTCAGGATTCCAAGTTGATGCTTGTTTCATGATGCAGTGTGATGATTTCCACAATGTTTGTCCTATCCACTTTTATCGTCTTCTCCTAATTTCCTCTTCATCGGAGAGCTGGTTTGTTCTCTTACACAGTAGACTGTTGCTGATAATATGCGATTAACCGAAATTGAGTATCTTGTGTAGACAACTGTTTATAAATTCTTGTACTTCTTTGATGAAGTAGTTCTCCAAGTTTCGTATCCGTACAGTAGAACTGTCTTGACGTTCGTATTGAAGATTTTGACTTTGATATTGGTTCACGATTATTTTGAGTTTCATATGTTCTTCAAATGTGGGAAATTAGCCATTGATTTGCCAATCGTTCTCTTTACGTCTACAACACATTCTCCTTGTTCATTGATTATGCTGACCGAGTACGAAAAAATTCAACAACTACTTCAGCTGTTCACCATCAGTTTAATTTATTTTGGAAGATTTTGTCAATTGACTACAATGTCAGTTTTAGAAATTATTCACCATACTGTTGAGCTTAAATTGTCATCAATCAATATAGGCGAGGTTCGAAATCGCACAGCATTGACGATCGTACTAAATTTGACCGTAGATACTTGCAAATAAATATTCAAGCAAGAACTTATTCACAATATGTATCTTCCCTTTCCCTTCATATAGAATATAAAGTCATATATAGTTGTATCATTGAAAAATGTGATTCCATATTGATGTCATTTGGTAATCTGAATGCTAGAACTTTAATGTTAATAGTAAGCCTATAATTAATGAACGAACCAATCAGATTTAAGATAACAGATCTTGGATTTTGGCTCGGAATTCACTCACCGATTTGGACAATTAGTGTTTTGGCATTTTAGCTGATGTTAGTTCGTGATGAAAACCATAAATCTAAATCCTAACTCTTACCATCAACTGTAAATCATAATCCTGTAGTGACTTACTTTTATCAAGAGAACGCGATTGGTGTAATGGAAACAACTAGTAACCGTTTGTTTAACTGTACCAAAACACATACTTTCTTTTTTTTTTATTGTGACCTTGCACGAATTCGGTTACGCTCGGTAACCACACTCGTAATTTGGCACGATCTCGGTATGGTTTTGATACTGCGAGATCGCCGACGAATACATCTCGACAACAGCCATCAACTACCTTCTGATATTTGGCTTACGGGAGATTTTATCAGTTAACTGGAACGTAGTCTTCCAGTAGTGATGGTCATAGTCAACCGTGACTTGACTCCATACTACAATCCTTAATCTTCAAACTGCTTTAAAACCCTTATTTAAACTTAATAAGTGGATGGACATTCTGAACGTCATTTTAATGTCCCTCAAAGGTCGTCCATAAATTATAGTCTCATCCATATCAATAATGAAATCATATTATCAGTAAAGGATTGTGGTGAATGTTGAGTTTTTAATAAAGATCATGAACTGATCAATGTTAAATCAGTATTGAATACCTGAAATTTATGTTATTAAGTGTTTTGACTTTATTCAGAATCTCAACCACATTGTCACTTCGTTCCATAGTTCAAATCTGACAATCTCATCAAAATTCAATAGAGCATATTTCCAACTTGAATAAATTTGTAATTTAATAAGGGGGAGGGGTGTTATTCAGTTGTATTGTTATGCAACAACAAGGTATATACGCAACACTTTTTTCTTGTTCAGTAAATCACATTGTATTTAGCACTTTCGAAAGGTTTTTCACTTAGCTACTAGACGAGTATTACATATTAGAAAGTAATTCCCATTGGTGATCTCATTCTAAGCCTTTGGCTTCATCATGTCCGTGTTAATTTTTTATTTATTATCCAGGATGTAATGCTACTGTATACCAGGATGCTCACAACATAAATTAAAGTCTCACCGTTTCATGATGAGAAAAGTTTCATGTTTACTAATGAATTCGAGTAGTTGGCCAATCTTGGCCTGTGTAATCTTATTTGATCCATTCAAGCAATTAAAATTATTAGATAGATGTTTGGTAAGACAACTAAATCTTTCCTGTAAACAACTTCACGTTTACTTCAGCAATATACACATAAATGAACAAACTTTTAAGAATCTGTAGTGACCTACTTTTATGAGATGAATGCGATTGTTATGATGGAAACATTTATTATTATAACCAATTGTACCAGTGATTGTTTAACTGTACTTGCTTGTTTAAGTGTACTAAAAACACACATTCTTCCGTTGTCTGTAACTTTGCACGAACTCACGTACGCTCAGTAGTCCCGCTTGTAAACATTTGCACGATCTCGGTGTTTCTACGATACCACGAGATTGCTAGCAAATACATCTTACTACAACCTCCAATTGCCTTCTGACATCTGATCTACGGAGAGATCTAACCTAGTAATTGGCACGTAGTCTTCCTGTAGCGGTGATCACAGTCAACCGTGACTCGATGCCACACTACAAATCCTAATTAAAATTGAATCTAAACTGGTAGCTGGGATTTTATGGAGTAAGTTTCTACATTAGTATACATTTTTACTGTCCAGTTTTATAAAGTTAATCAAACAACTTTAAAGTTACTTCATTAAAGCCAGACACTTTACCGAAAAAGAAAATCGATGTGTAAATTTCACATTTAAGATTTAGTTTTCAAAATAAAAGTCAAATTGAAAGTGAAGTCGAACATATGCTGCTCAATATATTCTAAATTGTAAATTAACACCGTTGGATACCGGCTCAGTAGTCAAGAGGTTAATCGTTCGCGCGCGAGACTGATAGGTCGTTGGTTCGAATCTAGCGGGGCGGGATCGTGGATGCGCAATGCCGAGGAGTCAAATGCTAGGACGAAACGGTCGTCCAGTGATTTTAGGTTTTCCATGGTGTTCTAGCTTCAACTATAAAATCCTAAAACCCCATGACCCACTGGAATTTACTGCTCAAAGTCATAAGTTTTACACAGCACTAAACGGCTATCTAGATCTAGTTCGTTTTCATTAACACATAACTTAGATTTAATTTACAATAAAGATTAATCTGACAAGCAGAGATGAATGGTGGCTAGTGTGGGCTCTAGAATATGCTTTTCATCCTATCTGAGACTCGTTAGTTAGGTGGTATTCATCCTAAGACTCAAATCCCGCACCGTTCGCTTAAAACACCATCGCATTAACTAGTTAGCTACTGATTTATCCAACGTGGTGGACGCCTAATTTATTTTTATTGGTCAGTCTCATTTGGCTTGTGTGCATGTAGTAATGATTGCCTTGATATTGCTGATAATTAAACTTAACTCCATTGAGCAAACTAGTGACTATCTGGACTTAGTAGCTAAGTGGATAATATGATAGAGCTTGAAGCTAAAAGTATTGGGTTCAATTCCCGAAATAAATATTATCGATGTAATATATCCAATTTAAGAGTCCCAAATAGGAAAAAACGCGCCACTTGAATTCCATCTCAAACCATCTTCCATCTCTGCATATAGTAAATTTTTGTGACTTAATGGTAATATCAAGGCAATCCACACAGGATGAATATATGCCAATGAAAAAATGATCGATTACAGTTTCATACATTAATAGGAAGTTCCAAATAACCAAAACAATGAACTAAGATTAACCTTAGACTTGAAACACCTTGTACAGTACATTATGATTATTGAGTCGTTAAACAGATCAATTTTTAAAACAATAAATTTACAATCAGAAAGGGTTTTTGTAGAAATTTCAGTAATTTCAATAGTTGTATTTACGAGTCGTTTGAAGCTAGACCACCATGTAAAACGTGAAAGCACTGGACGATCATTTCGTTCTATTGTGGAACTTCTCAGAAGTGCGCATCCACGACCCTGACTCGCGAGATTCCAACCCAAGACATATGGTTCTCGAGCGCGAGCATTTAAACACTAGACCACTGAGCCGGCATCCGATGGTATTAATGTATTACATCAGCCAATTAGCGAAATTGAGTGACACATTCACCATTGTCTTCAGTGAGTTACTATCTCACAACAGACCCGGTTGAACTCCACCGGTCACTGTTTCTCATTTTAACTTCAAGATATACCTTTTGAAGCCAGTCACTAGTGAGTATATGTTGATTAATAACAGAAAGGGTTTTTGTGGATTTGATAGTAATTTCAGTAGTTGAGAGCATCAGTTAATTGAAGCTAGACCACTATGTAAAGTACTGAACTGTCGTTTTTTTTACTAACCTTTTAATTACATTCACTTGCCAACCATCATATGTCCATGAACCAAATTTCATAGTACATGATTGATCATCAATGGAAAATAGGTAATATCAATTTTACAAGTTGATCGTAATTTAGCTGGTGGTGGCCAAAATACATTTCCATTGAATTGTACCATTGCTTTACTTTGCATATAATCTGTTTTGTAATCATCTGCACTAAAATTATGAAAAATAATGATAAAACGTTTTGTGATATGGTTTGTTTTTTGAACTATATTAGAACTTATCAGTAAAGGGTTGTGGAGATTATTAAGTATTTGATTAATATCATGAACCGATTGATGTTAGAACACTATTGAAAACCTGGAAGCACTGAATGGCCGTTTAGTCCTATTGTGGAACTCCTCAGCAGTGCGTATGATGAAAGCCAAGTTCCTTCGGAAGTCACGAGGCTGATGCCCTTTCTGACAACCAGAGTGACAATTAGTTTAGGTAAATGGAATGCTACAGTTTATAAATACTTTCAAAGAGGATTTTATAATTTAATGAATGCGTATTGTGTTGTTAAGATAAAATAATGGAATGCTAGTAGATAGATGAACTTAGTATAAAGATATATAGAATTGATACGTGTTGAGATAAGATGGTTGTTGGAGGTAATCAACAAAAAACCTTGGACCTCCAACCACCATCTTATCTCAACATAATGCACATAATGTTGAGTCACCTAGACTAGTGGCCACATTATAACTTGATCGATAGGATTCAATCTGCACTAAGAAGGACCTGAAACACATGACATTGATCACCACCTAATTATCAATCAATTGTAAAAGTGACACATATTCACATGAGTAGATCCTTAACGTGAACCGTCGAATGAACTTACATCAAAGATAAGATAAATACCCTGTAAACTATGCTCGTTTATCATTTTAAATGATATTTCCATACATGAATTATTAGCTAAAATTAGGGGATATTCATTTAGTACGTGATACATTCACCAACAATTTAAGATCTGATTGGGTTTTTTCTTAATTCTTATTTATCACATCAAATGACTCAGCATTGAATATATATCATTATAAGCAGAAACGGATGGTAGCTAACAATGATATCGACCATGATCGTTTTGTCCTGTTTGGGACTCGTCACTATAGTGAACCTGCATTTCACAGTCAACATTCATTCCAATACTTGAACTTAGTGCCTTTTGCCTCAAATGCCATCGGGTTATTCACTTAGCTACCATGTCCAAGTAACCCCTAGCTTGCACAAAGACAGATGGCTTTTCATTGATATAAATTGATGATAGTTATTAGGACCCGAGAAACATAATGAGTGGTAACTCTGGGATCCTTTTATGAAGCAATACTAAACGTATATTTTTATCGTATAATTGTTGAATAACTAAACTACCGATATTCATATTTCTCTTATTATAAGCTTTATTTTGACCCATAAACTATTATTATACGTTTTACCATTCTTGAATTATGCCCTGTCTATCAATTACTATCTCCCTCATTGACAGCCACATCTGGCTAATTCTTGTACAAATGTTATTTCCTATTTTATTGGTACGTTGTGGTCTGTTTGATTGGTATATAAACTCAGTATGCTTAAAATATAAAGATTCATATCGCAGAGGCTGAGACTTGCATTCTGGACTAAGCTGGCTGGGCTAGACAGGGAAGCAGGACCAATCAGGAATCTAGGTTGTCCTCACGTGTTTTACGCGTCCTTGGTCCGATCGATAATTCACTTCTCTCTGTTTGTCGGTACGTTATACAATAAACAGGGCACACGGGTCACAAGTTATAAAAATAGTCATCATACATATCTGAAGATTTAAAGACAACATTGAGGTAGTTCGTATAAAATGCATCAATACCAAGAAGAGACTAATCAGTTGTTCTTCCAAACAACCGTGAAAAGTGATTTATATCTAGTTGTATTTCCGATGGATCTAGTTATTCAATTAATTGTGTTTTCAATTAAAATCGAAATGTCATCATCAATGTAGTTGGTTAAGCGCCTGCAGCGAGACTGATAGGTCTTGGGTTCGAATCTCGCGGGGGCGGGTTCGTAGATATGCACTGCTGAGGAGTCCCATACTATGAAGGAAAGGCCGTCCAGTGCTTCCAGGTTTTCCATGGTGGTCTAGCTTCAATTGACTCATGGTTTCAACCAGTGGATTTTCAAAAAATCTCCACAAAACCCCTTCTGATAAGAATCATCAATATAGTCTTACAAATTGATCATTGATAAACTTTATTTCATTCATTTAATATTCATTATGTAATCAATTACCTATTATATAATACAATATCTGGTAACCATAATTTTTGACATGGAATTCTTATTCTTGAAAGATTATTATAATCTTCAGGATTCCATGTAAGTCTTTCATCCACCCATTCCTATGAGGAAAGAAAAGAAGCAAACAAACAAAGAAAAAATATATATATATATATATATATATAATTGTACCTGAACTGTGTGGCAATGATGTCTTTCAGAAGAACAATAAGAGCTCTACGACCAAACTATCCAGTTCAGAGAATAAAACTCAGTCAAAATAATTTGTTTATTGAATATAATCTTTCATTAATACTAATCAATATGTAGCTGATTAATATAAAGTAGATCCTTGAGTTCAGAATAGCGTTTTTAAGAGAGAAAAAACAACCTACTATGGGGGAGAATAAATCAAATTCTAGCAGAGAAAGAAATCACTGACAAGTAGACTGAGACATGTTGGTAGGTGTAGACTACCTGGTTGGGGACCGCGAGATGATAGCAACCGATGGTTAGAGACCCTGAATGACATGGCTCAAAATCGTTTGCAATGGCGCAAGTGCATCCACTCTTCGTGTTCTCCCAAATCTTAATCTTCTGAATTCTTCATGTCCCTTTCTTTTTTCTCTTTCCAAATTTATTTCACTGGATTATACTCCTTGAATAACACCTCCAAACTCTAATCTTTCCGATTACTGCTTATACTCTTACCACCTCTACCACTACGGGATTTGAATGGACCACTGCATCTCTGTGCTAATGTGGTGTAGCAACTCGAACTGATGTACGTACATACGAAGTTCTACGTTTTTACTGACTGACTAAGATAGGATACACATTGAGGAAAGCTTCCAACTGAGTCACAAGGAAAGCTTTCATTACTTGAAATCCTCAAGGTCAAAGGAGAAGAGAAGGACTAAAGAATACACTATACCAATAAATGAAGACAGACTTGAGAAGAATGAGCAAGAATTGGATAGGACTAGAGAGGAAGACCCAGGAAAGAGTGTGTTGGAGAATACTGGTCGGTGACCTATGCTCCATCGGGGTATCAGGCCTAAGTAAGTAAGTAAGTAAGTAAGTAAGTAAGTAAGTAAGTAAGTAAGTAAGTAACATCTTTGAATTTAACGTATGATACTAGACTTATCTCGTGTTGTTTTAAAACATGGCAAGTAACTTAATATGTTATATGATGTACATGTTTAAGTTTTCATGCGAGATGGAATAGGGACCATATTGTGTCTCTATGGCCCGCTAGTTATCACTTAATCTATTCGCCAATCAAAATACGACTTATTCGCTCTTATACTGCACTAAACCAATGACGCCCGACCTGTCTGATCAGCCTACCAAATTATTGGTCCGTTGCTCGCCTAGCTCGTCCAGCTGATTCCAGAACACCGATACCAGCTACCACTATGCGAACCCTTTATTTCAGACATACTGAGTTTATATATCAAACAAACAGACCTCAACGCACCATAAAATAGGAAATAACATTCGTACAAAATATAGCCAATGGTGGCTGTGTACGTAGGAGACAGTAATTAATAAACTGAGTATAACTTAGGAACAGTAAATCGTACAATAATAATCTATAGGTCAAAACGAAGCTTATAATAAGGGGAATATAGATATATATAATCTAGCTACTAAATAGTTATACAATAAGAATATAAAGATAATATTAGTCCACTATTAGGTTTCAGACGTTACTCGTAATGCAATCTTCACTAGGATATAACAGACCAAGTTCTTATTAGCAGTCTTTTAGGAATCCTTAAATATTTCACGAGTTGAAATCATGAGCCAATTGAAGCTAGACCACCATGGAAAACCTGGAAGCTCTGGACGGCCGTTTCGTCCTAGCACGGGACTCCTCAGCAGTGCGCACCCACGAACCTACCCCCGCGGGATTCGAACCCAGGACCTACTGGCTTCGCGCGCGAGCACTTAACCATTAGACCACTGAGCTGGCCGGCATCCAACGGTGTTAATGTCTAACTTCAACCTCATGATTTCAACTTGTGAAATTTCTAAAAATCTCCACAAAATTCATTCTGATAATCCTTAAATAATTGTTCCTTGATTAGTTACACTTACCAACATGATCATTTTGAAATAATATCGGAACTGTCTAACGGTCAAAAGGCTGTACTCAAGTCACTTTACATTATAATTAAATTTGTTTCTTAGAAGTTTATGTGTTTAGGTTGTCATTATCATTAAAGTAAAGGTTAATTGATCAACAAACTCAATGTACTAATCAAACGAAATTACTTTAACAATTTAATATATATAAGATAATACAGAAGATTTGTAGCTGAAAACTTAAACAGAGATTGTGAAATACATCTACTTTCTGCAACTACGTTTACTGACTATCGTGATATTCTAATTTTAATATTTCTCTTAAAATTGACTAGATAATATAAAAATTATTCATTCTGTGATGTGTGCTACTGACATCGATAAATATAAGTAGTATATATCATCAATCCAAAGTGAAATACCAGGCGGCAGAAAGTTAAGAAGATTGAAGAAAAGAGAATGAGAACAAAGAAGGACTGCTACAGAAACGAAACAACAATGGAGGCTGAGACGACTGACTGATTTTGCATATGCGGTATTTACTGCATGGTTCTCAGATTTGACTAAGATGTACTGCCCCCGAATGCCCTGGTACGGCCGAGAGTGGGGTGAGTCCGCTCTCCCTCTCGAAATACTCTCACACGGCCGCGCGTATACAGCCTCTGCCAGGGAAGTCCTACTCATTGCCTTCTCGTGGCGGGGGTGTTGTTTACGAAAATGAGAGGACGAAAAGCGAATGTCCGGCGCTTTAACCGGATCCCAAACCAATGGTGCACATGGGCTCCAGTATCCTGCGGGAACAAATGGCGTATGAACCAATCGTTGGTCACCGGCTACCATGGGACTGCATCTCCTTACGATGCTCCACTGCCTTGTGGGTTAGACCTTTAGGTCAAAGGCTCGGGGAGTGGCCCCCTAAGATAACCACCTGCTTCGGTTTGGGCACCCGGGCAGTATCACAGCCCACACACAAATGATGAACTCTATGTCTATGGAAATTACTTTTCTCGCTTTGAAAAACAATCAATTGATTCAAATTATTATCATTACAATTATTGTCATTATTAATACTATTATTATTACTATTATTGTCATTATTATTATTATTATTATTATTATTATTATTATTATTTTCCACATTATTCACCCTCTTTTATACTTATACAGCGGCTCGTCTTTGGTGGAAATTCGACTGTATCTAAACGTTCTCGAGTCACTGTCCGGTTGAAAATTGTATGTTACCACCGAATACGAGGACTGAAGCAGTTTTTCTGAAACCACGTGCACCATTCAAACTGGCTGCCTTCAACGTTCGCACATTTATGCAGGTCGGACAACAGATAGGGCTGGCTATGTCTTTGGAAAGTCTTAATATTGATGTTGTTGTCTATCCGAGACCCGTATTCAAGACTCTGGCGAAGTACTACAAATTCGATCTCCATCTGTCGCTTCGAAAAGCTTGTTTTACGTGCGCTTATCCGGGGACCCTGTGGCATCTTCGTCTGGTCTTGCTGGCGTTGGTGTCGCACTAAGCGCTAGAGCTGAGGCAGCACTAGTCGATTGGATCCCCATTAACAGTCGGTTATGTGCTGTTAGATTAGAAAGTTCCATCAAAGTGAGAAGAAATCGGCGTGAGAAACGATGTCTTTTCGTCATCTCCGCCTATGCCCCGACAGATTGCAGCCCGGATGCAATCAAGGATGAGTTTTACCACCAGTTATCAGTTCTTCTCCAGAAAGTGCGTTCGACAGATATTGTAGTACTAGCCGGAGACTTGAATGCTCAGGTCGGGCGTCTAGGCACAGAAGAGAGTCGTTTAGGTGGCCGATGGGGACTCGTTGGTCGCAGGTCAGATAACGGGGACCGTCTACTGCAACTTTGCACAGACCACAACCTGTTTCTGGCTAGCACTAACTTTCGGCACAGTCATCGCCGATGTGCCACCTGGCGTCCTCCCTCTGCATCTCAAGCCTGGACTCAGATTGATCACATCGCGATCAGCTACCGCTGGCGTGGTTGTGTAAAGACTGCCGCTCCTTTTGGAGTACCTATCTGGACTCTGACCATGCCTTGGTCTGCGCCAATCTTGCCTTACTTTTCAGTGGACAACGAAGTGACCGCCACCAACGGATTGATGTTAGCAAGCTGGTTGCAACTTCTGTTGCAAGTAAGTATCGAACCGAGCTAGCCTCTAGGCTAGCTACCACTCCACCGAAAAGTATAGATGAGCATTGGTTGCAATTGCATGACGCCATGAAAATGGCGGGAACAGTCAGTTGTGGGTTTGCGAAACGTCCCGCTTTTAAGCACTGGGTTTCTTCTGGTTCCTTACAACTCATTGAAGCCCGTCGGTCTACTCCGGGTGACCGTGAGTTTGACCATAAACGAAGGATGTTACGTAAGGAAATTGGGCAAAGCTTGCGTAAGGACCGAGAAGCCTGGTGGTCGATGCGTGCTAATGAGCTGGAAGCAGCAGCTGCATCTGGTAACTACCGGAAGCTCTTCCAGCTCATCCGAGCCACTGGCAGCAAGAAGTCTGGTGTGAGTGAAACAATCTGCGAGGATGATGGGATGCCAATCACTAACATCCATCGACGTCTTGGACGATGGGCAGAATTTTTCGAAGGGCAGTTCAACTGGCCTGCTGCTCCGGCAACATCGGTCAGACTGTCCTGCCCTCCATGGCCGGTGACGACTGATCCACCAAACGAGGAGGAAGTCCGCAAGGAACTCCAACTCTTGAAGCGTTACAAATCACCTGGCCCAGATGACTTACCTCCGGCTCTTTTTAAAGATGGTGGTGACTTTTTGACTAAGGAATTGACGACGTTGTTTACAAAGGTTTGGGAACTAGAGAGTGTACCAACGTCATGGAATGAGTCGATAGTTGTCCCTATCTTTAAAAAGGGTTCACGTCGTTCCTGTAACAACTATCGGGGGATAAGTCTACTTCCGATTGCGTCCAAGCTATTGGCTTCCGTCATTCTTCGTAGGTTGTTCAAAACCCGAGAAAGATTGACTCGCGAGGAGCAGGCTGGGTTTCGTTCTGGTCGAGGATGTATTGATCATATCTTCACCCTCCGCCAAATGTTAGAACACCGCCATACTTATCAAAGGCCAACAATCGTAGTGTTTCTTGACATCAGGGCTGCCTTCGATTCGTTGGACAGGACTGTTCTCTGGGATTGTCTATTGAAGAAGGGTGTGCCTGAGAAGTTTATTAACATCCTAAAAGCCCTATATAAAAACACCTCAGGCAGAGTGAGGGCATACAACCACCTCTCTCCATTGTTCCATTCGAGCAGTGGGGTTAGGCAGGGTTGCCCAATCTCACCATTCCTCTTCAACTTTGCCATCGATGACATTCTGGAAACAGCTCTGATGAATGTAAGTAATGGTGGTGTGGATCTGTTGCCTGGAGAAAGACTTCTCGACCTTGAGTATGCGGACGATATTGTCTTACTGTGCGATAATGCCCAAGGCATGCAATCCGCACTTAATCAGTTGGCAATCAGTGTCCGTAGGTATGGTATGTGCTTTGCACCTTCGAAGTGCAAAGTACTTCTACAAGACTGGCAGGATTCTAATCCTGTACTCACCCTGGATGGTGAGCAGATAGACGTAGTCGAGAAGTTCGTGTATCTGGGTAGCTGCATAAGTGCTGGTGGGGGTGTGAGTGATGAGATCAATGCACGAATAGTGAAAGCCAGAGCGGCTTATGCCAATCTGGGCCACCTTTGGCGCCTTCGTGATGTTAGTCTGGCTGTAAAAGGTCGGATCTACAACGCGTCGGTGAGAGCAGTTTTGCTCTATGCTTGTGAAACCTGGCCTCTCCGAGTTGAGGACGTTAGACGACTCTCTGTGTTCGATCATCGCTGTCTCCGAAGGATTGCTGACATTCAGTGGCAACACCATGTCAGTAATGCAGAGGTTCGGCATCGTGTGTTCGGGCACAGAGATGATAATTCAATTGGTGTCACCATCTTGAAACACCGACTTCGGTGGCTTGGACATGTTCTCCGAATGTCGTCCCAGAGAATTCCACGTCGTGCATTATTTGCCGACTCTGGGACTGGTTGGAAGAAGCGGAGAGGTGGTCAGTGCATGACATGGTGTCGTGGCATGAAAGAAAGCTGCAAAGGACTGGCTTGTGTTGGTCCTTCACGACTCCCTGGTTGGGGTCTGAGAGATGGTGCTACACAGTGGCTAGAGACGTTATCAGATATGGCTCAGAATAGAAGCCAGTGGCGATCCTGCTGTAACCTTCTTTTACTTTCTTCATAAAAAGTGGTTGTGTCTCCCTTACCTGAAAGATTTCTTCTGATTGTACCTTTCGTTCCCTCGTTACTACCACACTACCTTACACCAATCTCTTCGTTATTGTTCTCTTTTTCTTTTGCGCTCCTTAGTTTTTTTTTTATTCTCTTCGAATTCTCATTGTTTTGTGTGGCGCATATATATTGGCGCTCTCTTGTACCAATATTCATGTGTTCAAATAAATAAATAATAATGTTGTGTTCGAATATATTCGGTTGTCCGTACTGGTGTTCTCGATCACTACAGTTCCTAGGAATGGCGCATAAAGTTGTTTGTATTGTAGAAATCCTGAATATCAATTTTTTTTAAGACTTATCAAGTAACAACTTATTCATTAGTGTTATAACTATGTAGGAGTAAAATGTTGTCATTAAAATTTTGATTGTTAATTGATTTCACTGTCGAAACAATATTAAGCTATGCAGTATAAATTTGTAAGGATCTATATTTTACTGTCATTTATATCGCCTCCAAATGCCCTGGTACGGCCGAGGTTGGGGAAAGTCAGCTCCCTCTCTCGAACTGTTCCCACATGGTCACACGTACACATCTACTGACAGGGACGTCCTAATCACCGCCTTCTAGTGGCATTATTGTTGTTTACAAAATCGAAATGAAGAAAAGCGAATGTCCGGCACTTTGACTGGGTTGAAGAACACGGGAAGTCCACCTAGGAGAGTTGGAAAACCCTCATTCCAAACCAATGGTGCACAGGACTTCAGGAACCTGAGGAAACAAGTGGCGAATGAACCAATTATTGGCTACCGGCTACCATGGGACTGAATCTACAGAAGTCGCTCAATTGCTTTGTGGATCATTCTTTTAGGTCAAAAGCTCCGGGTATGGCCCCATAAGGAAACCACACGCTCCAGTTCGGGCACCCGAGCAGTATCACAGCCCACACAGATCAAGTAACTTGTGTGGCGCATATGTATATGTGTCGCATATGGTGCTCCCATGTACCGATGTTTATGTGTTCCAACAAATAATAAATAAATATGTTTATCGTTTATGTCAAGAGTTATAGATTAATTAGTCTCGTATGACAGTGAGTGAATTTCCTCTGTGTTACTATTTACTTACTTACTTACTTACTTACTTACTTACTTACTTACTTGCGTATATTACCCCTTCTAGAGGAGGATAGGCCACCTGTTATTTAGTCACTAGTTTCCACTAACTCAGAATAATAGCAAGTAATGGAGCCCACCCCATCCCCCCAAAAAACGCACATTTTGTCACATACCAATAGTATATAAACTATTGGATATCTTGACACATTGGATGACAGATTCACATACATCTGATTAACTAGTCCGATGTAGGAAAAAGCTGGATTCTTGGATACCTGGATTCTTTGACTGACTACCATTAAATCTGTTTAATTTCATTTTTTACAATTAGAAAAAAAAGAAAAGAAAACTAAAATATAACAGGAATTTACTGTTTACCTGTTCAATCCATACATTTAATGTAAGTACTTGGTTTACTTCATCCTATAAAACAAAGAAACAAAAAGTAAACTTGATCCATAGTTACAATTATGAATAAAGACTTTTTTATACTTGAATTAATCACTAATATTAATCATACAGAGAGACATGTAGCGGTAAATAATTCCCAAAAATCAATAATTATGTAAGTCTTCGATATTTGATGCTGACTATATTAGTTTTAATGGATTCACCTAGCTGAAGGCACTCTGTCATGCGTCCATATCAGAACACGAATGGGTACACTGTGCTCAACTTCTCCTACAACTGATAATTAGTTTAGATCGTTCACTTCATAATATATCGATAGCCTATCAGATATATCTTTGAACTTCTTTGCTTTTGACTTCTGATTTCATTGGGTTGAAACGTTTCAATTATACAAGGGGTTACTGGTTAAGGTGTTGTCAAACTTCAAATACTTCTGGCATCTTCAGAAATTTCAGTGAAAATTATCAATCTATAGAATAAGCAGTATCAGTAGTTATATAACACTCTGCACAATAAATTGGTTTTAACTTAAATATTTAATAGTTGAATTCATAAGTCGATTAAAGCTAGACCATCATGAAAAACCTGGAAGAATTGGACTGCCGTTTCGTCCTAGTATGGAACTCAGCAGTAAGCATCTACGATCCCACGAACCCAGGACCTTCGGCTTCGCACTCGAACATTTAACCTCCAGACCTCTGAGACGGGAACCAACGGTGTTAATGTCTAACTTTAACCAACCCATGAAACTGTGTCACGATTCACCATTGTCTTCAATGGGCAACTGCTTTACGACAGACACACTTGATCTTCACTGGTCACAGCTTCTCACTAAATAATTATACAGAATTCTCACTCACTAATTGAATATGTTATGCTCACTTTCAAATCAAAATAGCTTCAATTATGGTCACTCTGTCATAAGTTTCTTTGATCTTTGCAGACATATTTCCTCTAGCGTCAAGTTTATGACTATCTGTACATTTAAACCCCATATGCGAATCATTGTATACATCTCTTAATGAATTCTACTTGTATTAAACTTGTAATTTGAAATAAGTGTAGGCATGTAGTGTCAGTTACTATGTTAAGCTCATATATACGTTTATATATATATATATATGTTTATTTATTTTAACACATAGATATTGGTACAAAGAGGCACCAAATACATATGCGCCACACAGATCTCATTTGATATGTGTGAAGATTGGGATACTGCCCGGGTGCCTAAACCGAAACGACTGGTTTTCTTAGGGGACCACACCCGGAAGCTTCGACCTGAATGTCTGATCCACAAGATAGTGGAGCGATGTTAGGAGATGCAGTCCCATGGTATCCGATGACCAACGATTGGTTCCTCAGCCATTTGTTCCTTCAGGATACTGGAGTGAGGGTTTTCCAACTCTCCTAGGTGGACTCTCCATGTCCACCAAACCGGTTAAAGCGCCGGACGTTCGCTTTTTGTTGCTAAATTACTAGGAAGATTTAATCATCAAACATATCTGAATGTATTCAAATAATTATTCTGAGTTTATCTATAGTATTCATCATATACAGTGAAATGATGTATAGGGACAGTTACTATGTTAAATCCATAGAATTTATCCTAGCTTTTGGAAAGGCCAATTTATTCGTTGTTCTTCAGTCACCTTTTGATCTTATCAATTATTTGCTTATCAACTTTGACTGTTCCTATATGAGCATTTATATATGTACACTTCTTATCCAATTTATCACATATCATCTGTAACTTATTTTTCTGTGACTATAAATATTGATTAATTTTTGATCAACTCGAGTTGGCTCACACACATTCTCTACGGCACATCATTTCGCCTCACTCTCTTCTCTTTGTTTCCTTCGCTTCGTCCCTCTGATTACCTGTTCAGATTAATGAGTGAACAAAAGATATGTATTCGATAATCTATTCTTGTATTCAACTTATTTCATTCCGTTGTTCACTAATGGAATTGAAGTCGATGATTATATTCGAAGAGTTACGACATGCCATAATCTTCAATAACAAGCAGAAATGATACAAGAGAATTTCAAATATCTTAAATCTGTCCTTAGTTAAAAATGAATAAATGAAATATAGAATACCAAGATTATTTAAGTTTATGATCCTAATCCCAAGCACCTCCAGGTTATATCTCCTTATTACCGCAGCGATTTGAAAGACTCTTCTGGTCTCCCACATTGTATGAGTATTCCATGTACTTAAATAAATGGTTGCTCTGGTTGCCAGAAGGGGCATCGACCTCGTGACTTCCGAAGGAATTCGGCTTTCATCATGAGGCGTCATAACTCTTCTAAATGAAGACCTTCTGACTCCCAGAGTAGAGTTTAAAAGGTTTGAATAATTTTTTCTGGTTAGCGTTTTTTTAGCGAGTTAGTTTTCCACGAGATGGGGTCGCTAACCCCATACCCAACCCTCCTCCTTTATCTGGGCCTGGAACTGGCAGTAGCCCCTGGAGGGACTCCAGGTGGAGTTATATTAAATACTGATTCAATGATGAGTAAACCATATAAACTGAGTGTAAATCAGTTAAATTTATCAAGTTGATAAAGAAATAAGTGGCAAAACTATAATTTATGGTCGAACCAATCAGACAAGGGATAATAGGTCTTGAATTTCGGCGCAAAATTCATTCACTCACTTAGCTTAATAGAGTTTTGATATTATAACTGATATCAGTTCATAATTAAAATCCTAAATCTAATTCTTAACCTTAACCATCAACTGTAAATGATAATTCGAAGAACCTCAAACAGGTTTATAAACCTGATTATTAGATGGACACTCACAAGGTCAGTCTAGCGTCCTTCAAATATGGTCCATAAATTATAGTTTCATTATTCATTCTATTTCGTTGGTTATAACCTGTGATATTTAAAAATGGGTTTAGAATTACTCGCAAGGAAGAGTTTAGTTGGAAGTTATCTTAAAGACGCATTAGTATAGTATAGTAAGAGTGTAAATAAATTGAATAGACTGAATATTGTGAATGTATACACTACGTAAAAGAACATCCTACAATATTAATTGTGACATGACTTCAAAGAGTCAGAAACAAGTGATTACATAATGAGTAAACGTTTATAAGAATAAAATGAATAAAGTTAATAAAATAAGATTAGTGATCTGGAATATCATTGATGAACAAGGAGAATGTGATGCAGACTTAGCGTCGAGGATTGCTAAAGTAAAGGCACTATTCACACAATTGAAGAAAATATGGAAATCAAAACAACTCTCAAGCAATATCAAAGTCACAATTTTCAATACGAACGTCAAGAAAGTTTTAATATACGGAACTGAGACTTGGAGAACTACCACAACTATCATCAACAAGGTACGAGTTTTTATAAATAGTTGTCTACACAAGATACTCAATATCTACTGGCGGGATACCACCAGCAACAGCCTTCTGTGGGAAAGAACAAACCAGCTTCTAACTGAAGCGTAAATAAGGAAAAAACGATGGAAGTGAACAAGACATATATTACATAAATCATCAAACTGCATCACGAGGCAAGCTATAACCTGGAATCCTGATTGAAAGCGGAAGGGATGAAGGACAAATAAAATTATGTCGGGAAATAGAATCAGATATGAAAAGGATGAATAACAACTGGGAAGACCTGGAAAGGATTGTCGATGACAGAGCTGGATGGAGAATGCTGGTGAGCGGCCTATGCTCTTTCAAGAGGAGTAACAAGTACAAGAAAGTAAAGTAAGTAATCTGGAAGACATACAAAATAAATAGACATAATGGTGTAATAAATGCACGAGAGTTTATAAAGTGTTTTTAGATGCAATGTAGTAGTATTTGTCACCAAAGTATGCAAAAATTAACAACCATCTCCCTTTGAACTCATAAATTAAGGTTTCAACGCTCGATAGTAACAACTTCAGTAATCTTGGAGTTTGGCTGTTTATTATTCACCTTTGAGGATTCCAAGGCATCAACCTGATGTCTTGTGTTCAAGAGATACTTAAACTCGTTCTTCCTCTTATTCTAAGGCTTTTTGGAACATGTTTGAAGTAGTTAACATATTCTCTTCTTTCTGTCAGTAAGTCAGTCAGCTACAACGTAGGACCAGGCACATATGTGCATCGGTCCAGGTTGCCATACCTCATTAGCACAGCAAGATGAACGGCGGATTCATAGGAGTGGTTAGGTCAAAGGTAGTAATATATAGGAGAAAGATTGCAATAAGGATATAGTATAGGAAGAAAGAATTAGTTCGTAGAAAGAAAGATATGAAGTGATTTTAATCTCTTAGTTTAAGGGAAGACAGGGAGTGTATACACCGACGCCATTGTGATCGATTCTGAGCCATGTCACCAAGAGTCTCCAACCATTGGTTACGATAGTCACACGGACCCCAACCAAGTAGTCTGAATCTACCAACATGGCTCAGACTACAAGTTAGTGACTTCAAGCACTGATGCCACGTCTTGCTTTGGCCGCCCCTAACTTTCTTCCAACTATCTCCAATACCGGATAGCATTGCACGTCGTGGTAATCGGTGTTCAGACATGCGTAACACGTGGCCCAACCATCTCAGTCGATGAAGATTCATAACCTCATCAACTGATTTACCATCATTTTCTAATACCCTGCGTCTAACCTTCCTATTACTTACCCGGTGATCCCAGCAGATGCCAGCAATATTTCTAAGGCATCTGTGGTCTTCTTTCTGTTCTGCCAATATAGCTGTTTTGGCAGGTAAATGTTAACTTATAAACATAGTTGGTGGTAACATGAAAGTGGTGCTTTTCGACCTTTGGTCGGGTTATTAAACATATTATATTTACCTGCCGAGTAAGTTCTGGCTATTACAGTGTTAGGCCTTCTGCTGACTGTGCTTCCTGTATATTTACACCCTTACTATACTGCATTAATGAGCACTGCTTAGGAGTCTCATACTAGGACGAAACGGCCGTTCAGTGCTTCCAGGTTTTCCAAGATGATCTAGCTTCAATTGATTCATCAATTTAA